CTTTAGCTTAGCTTTAGCTTAGCTTTAGCTTAGCTCTAGCTTTAGCTTAGCTTTAGCTTAGCTTCAGCTTAGCTTTAGCTTAGCTGTAGCTTAGCTGTAGCTTAGCTGTAGCTTAGCTGTAGCTTAGCTTTAGCTGAGCTGCACCTTAGCTTTAGCTTCGCTTTAGCTTCGCTTTAGCTTAGCTTTAGCTTAGCTTTCGCTTAGCTTTAGCTCAGCTTTAGCTCAGCTTCATATTGGCTTTAGCTTGGCTTTAGCTTAGCTTTAGCTTCAGCTTAGCTTTAGCTTCGCTTTAGCTTAGCTTTAGCTTAGCTTTAACTTAGCTTTAGCGTAGCTTTAGCTTAGCTTTACCTTAGCTTTAGCTTAGCTTTAGCTTAGCTTTAGCTTAGCTTCAGCTTAGCTGCAGCTTATATTTAGCTTAGCTTTAGCTTAACTTTAGCTTAACTTTAGCTCTCAGCTTTAGCTCAGCTTTAGCTTAGCTTCAGCTTAGCTTTAGCTTAGCTTTAGCTTAGCTTTAGCTTAGCTTTGTCTTAGCTTTGTCTTATCTCTAGCTTAGCTTAAGCTTAGCTTTAGCTTAGATTCAGCGTAGCTTTAGCTTAGCTTTAGCTTAGCTTTAGCTTAGCTTTAGCTTAGCTTAAGCTTAGCTTCGCTGTTACTACTAATGCTGCTTTCCTAGGGGCTCCAACTCCTAGGTAGGGTCGCACTGGGATAATTCGCTTCTTCCTCGGTTGGGATCTGACCGTGCCTGGTGTTTAGACGGTTGGGATCTGAACCGTCCGGTTGGGATGTCACGCGACCGGTTGGGATCTGAACCCATCGCCCTATCGGGTGGGACCCTGTCGCGTGAAGCCATGCCGTGGGGGCCTACCGTGTGGGACCCTTTGGGGTGGGACGCAATTGCCTTTTCCATTCCCCGAATGCAGTATGGAAAGAGGACTGCTCCATGGGAATAATCAGCCATCAAAGAAAAGGAAAAGGAGAAGAATGAACGAAAACGCGCCAGCAACCATAAGACGCAACGGCCAAGCTACCATTGGCAAGCCTAGCGCGAAACCTTCCTGAGCGCAGTAAGTTCACGAAGTGAAGAATGCTGTCAATCAGGCAAGCTGGCACGCCACAGGCTGAGCTCTCCACTCCGTGACCGCGGCGGCAAACGCATCTTGACACGCACTGCGGCAGTATACCCGGCCGAGGCCAACGAGCTGCTGGCATACGAACCGACTCGCCAATGCACAGGGGGAGCGTGCAGGCCTGCAAGCCTACACCCTGCGAAATGCTTAAGAAATCATGGGTTAAGAAACTCATAGTCTCAGAACTGGGATAAAAACCCAACATTTCTATTTAAATGTTAGGATTCACATCGAAACATTAAGAATCATCGAGACTCTGGCCGAAAACTTAAGTTTTCTTAAGCATCGCCTAAGGTGTAAGCACGGATCCGTATCCCAGGAGTGCCGTACACGACGCTGTGCGATCCCCCCACGGCCGAGACGGACACATGAGGCCTTGCCTTGTCCTCCTCCTCCTCCTCCTCCTCCCTCCTCCTCCCCCTCCCTCCTCCTCCTCCTCCTCCTCCTACTCCTCCTTCGGGGGTCGAAGGAGTTGTCATCTCTTTCGCGGCGGAAGGTGGCGGAAGGTCGGCGAAATAAGACGAGGCCGCTTCCGCTAGCGGAAGCCGGCGGAAGGGCGGCGAAACGTTTGTGGCTTCAGGGTTTCCGAGATCGACCATGCGCAAACGGCCGGCACAGCAAGCGAGAGCCTGCGGAGTGGGAGAGCCCATGGGCGGGGACGCTGTGGCAGGAAACCTCTCTGGGGTCAGAGCTGCAGGGGAGCGCAGGGAACCGCGGGGAATTTCCGAGCTGCCTGGCGATCAAGGTCAACTCAGCACAGTCGGGCTTGATTGGAGAGGACACGCGACAGGACGCGAGACCCTTCCGAGGGCCACGCTGCCATAGGAGTGCGAGAAGGCATGGGTCGCGAAGCACAGGACACGAGGGTGCCCACGATCAGGCAGGGTCGACCCGTTGTCCCTGTCCGGGCATTCGACTCCTATTCGTCGTCCTCCTCCTTCTCCTCCTCCTCGTGCTCCTCCTGACCCTCCCGTTCCTGCTCCTGCTTCTTCTCCTCCTCCTCCTCCTCCTCCTCCTCCTCCTCCTCCTCCTCCTCCTCCTCCTCCTCCTCCTCCCCTCCACTCCTCATCCTCCTCCTCCTCCTCCTCCTCCTCCTCCTCCCCCTCCTGCCTTGGGAGCAACGGACACCAGGAACGCCAACCGATCTGCCTGGCGCGACAGCCCAGAGACTCCGGGTGTGCACTCACACACAGGCGGGGCCCCACGTGGCCCCACTGCTGGAGCGCCTCGTTGTCAGCGCCAGCCGACTGGAATTCCGAGAACGGCGTCTCACGGTGACGTTCTACACTGGCCTGTGTGGTGCCGTATCCTCCCGCGGTCTCGAACCGTCGTGCAGACCGAAGCCTTGTGCTCCTCCCACCCTGTCTTGATGTTTCTCTTCCTCGTCCGCGATCGCACCTGAACTCAGATGCCGGACAGTGGCGATCACAAAGGCCACCAAAGAGTACTACTGCCTCCTGGTCGCCTGAGAAGCGCACGCAATTCTAGCAATCTAATGCGCACCAGCGTGCGAGATGCGAGTTGGCCGCTCCGTGGGCGAACATGACCTCCCGTGGGATTTCACCATTGACCATTGTGTAGGCCACACGGTTCCGCACCCTAGCGCGCGCACAACTTATGACAGCAAGCGAAAGAGAAACAAGACCAGGAGGCCAGAACACAGCGTAAACATACCCATTCACTCGGACATACGAAGACGGCAGAGCTCGGCCTCCGTGACATTCTTTGGACGCCTGAAGTGGGCACAGAACAAATCAGACGATGCCCATCAGCAACTGCTGTCCAAAGCTGACAGCGGCCGCTGTTGGGCAGGCGGCCATCTGTCTCAATTGGGCAGCGCCCGCGGAGGCACCGATACCGACAACGCTGTCCGTCTTCGCACCCATCATCCCCATACCAAGGCCGACCCTGCCGTTAAGTCGGGCCTGTCCCCGTACAGGGGGATTTTCGACGAAAAATAAAAAAAAATTAAAAAATATTTTGAAAATAGTCCAACAATAGTCTGGGGACTATTTCCTTAATATTTTTTGGGGCATTTTTGGGGTATTCTTGTTTTCCTTGAAAATCCCCCTGTAGGGGGACACGCCCGACATAATCCTGCCGAGGCCGGCGCTGAGCTCCCTCCCCGCACCCCTTCCCCGTGCCCGAGGCGTGCCTCGGGGCCAGCGCCGAGGGCGCTGCTCCAGGGTGCGCGGAGAGGGCTGCAGCGCCGGCAGGCATGCCGCCCGCGAGGTCCGAAGCTTTCTCTCGTGACTTCCGGGCGCCCAGCGGACTCCCGCCCTGCCCAGCCGTCGGAAAAGGTGGGTGGGGACACGATGTGACAAACGCGCTGACAGTAGAGGGCAGTTTTTAATACATAGGATTTTCAAAACTATAGGATTTTTTAACACATGATTACTTCATGAATGAATTTGTGCATGAACTCATCGTTGTTTTCAATACTAGATCCATGCATTCTTAATACATGATCCGCACGCGGAGCATGTATCAAAAACGGCACTGCAGATTGGGCTTCCGCCTGCCCCCCAAAGAGGAAAGAGGCAGGAAGAAGGAACACCACAGGGCGATGGAGGTAGTGAGGCGCCCAAAGCCATAGACTGGAGCCGGGCAGCAACACGGCAGCGACCGACGGGTTTGACAGTAGATTGGATTTCCGCCTGCCCCCCCAAGAGGAAGGAGGCAGGAAGAAGGAACACCACAGGACGATGGAGGTAGTGAGGCGCCCAACGCATAGACTGGAGCCGGGCAGCAACACGGCAGCGACCGACGGCGTCGACAGTAGATTGGGTTTCCGCCTGCCCCCCCAAGAGGAAAGAGGCAGGAAGAAGAAACACCACAGGGCGATGGAGGTAGTGAGGCGCCCAACGCATAGACTGTAGCCGGGCAGCAACACGGCAGCGACCGACGGCGTTGACAGTAGATTGGATTTCCGCCTGCCCCCCCACGAGGAAGGAGGTGAGGAAGAAGGCCGGGCAGCAACACGGCAGCGACCGACGGCGTCGACAGTAGATTGGATTTCCGCCTGCCCCCCCAAGAGGAAAGAGGCAGGAAGAAGGAACACCACAGGACGATGGAGGTAGTGAGGCGCCCAACGCATAGACTGGAGCCGGGCAGCAACACGGCAGCGACCGACGGCGTCGACAGTAGATTGGATTTCCGCCTGCCCCCCCAAGAGGAAGGAGGCAGGAAGAAGGAACACCACAGGGCGATGGAGGTAGTGAGGCGCCCAACCATAGACTGGAGCCGGCAGCAACACGGCAGCGACCGACGGCGTCGACAGTAGATTGGATTTCCGCCTGCCCCCCCAAGAGGAAAGAGGCAGGAAGAAGGAACACCACAGGACGATGGAGGTAGTGAGGCGCCCAACGCATAGACTGGAGCCGGGCAGCAACACGGCAGCGACCGACGGCGTTGACAGTAGATTGGATTTCCGCCTGCCCCTCCAAGAGGAAGGAGGCAGGAAGAAAGAACGAACACCACAGGGCGATGGAGGTAGTGAGGCGCCCAACGCATAGACTGGAGCCGGGCAGCAACACGGCAGCGAGCGACGGCGTCGACAGTAGATTGGATTTCCGCCTGCCCCCCCAAGAGGAAAGAGGCAGGAAGAAGGAACACCACAGGGCGATGGAGGTAGTGAGGCGCCCAAAGCCATAGACTGGAGCCGGGCAGCAACACGGCAGCGACCGACGGCGTTGACAGTAGATTGGATTTCCGCCTGCCCCCCCAAGAGGAAAGAGGCAGGAAGAAGGAACACCACAGGGCGATGGAGGTAGTGAGGCGCCCAACGCATAGACTGGAGCCGGGCAGCAACACGGCAGCGACCGACGGCGTCGACAGTAGATTGGATTTCCGCCTGCCCCCCCAAGAGGAAGGAGGCAGGAAGAAGGAACACCACAGGGCGATGGAGGTAGTGAGGCGCCCAAAGCCATAGACTGGAGCCGGGCAGCAACACGGCAGCGAGCGACGGCGTCGACAGTAGATTGGATTTCCGCCTGCCCCCCCAAAGAGGAAGGAGGCAGGAAGAAGGAACACCACAGGACGATGGAGGTAGTGAGGCGCCCAACGCATAGACTGGAGCCGGGCAGCAACACGGCAGCGAGCGACGGCGTCGACAGTAGATTGGATTTCCGCCTGCCCCCCCAAGAGGAAAGAGGCAGGAAGAAGGAACACCACAGGGCGATGGAGGTAGTGAGGCGCCCAACGCATAGACTGGAGCCGGGCAGCAACACGGCAGCGAGCGACGGCGTCGACAGTAGATTGGATTTCCGCCTGCCCCCCCAAGAGGAAAGAGGCAGGAAGAAGGAACACCACAGGGCGATGGAGGTAGTGAGGCGCCCAACGCATAGACTGGAGCCGGGCAGCAACACGGCAGCGACCGACGGCGTTGACAGTAGATTGGATTTCCGCCTGCCCCCCCAAAGAGGAAGGAGGTAGGAAGAAGGAACACCACAGGGCGATGGAGGTAGTGAGGCGCCCAACGCATAGACTGGAGCCGGGCAGCAACACGGCAGCGAGCGACGGCGTCGACAGTAGATTGGATTTCCGCCTGCCCCCCCAAGAGGAAAGAGGCAGGAAGAAGGAACACCACAGGGCGATGGAGGTAGTGAGGCGCCCAAAGCCATAGACTGGAGCCGGGCAGCAACACGGCAGCGACCGACGTCGTTGACCTCTGGCAGGCCCCCACCGCGGAAGAGCGCGCCCAAAGCACGACGAGACCTGCAACGCAGCGGCGTGCTGCGAGGCGTCGAGGGGTGCGCGGCGCCGGCCGCGGGTGCCGCTTCAAGCACGAAAAAAAAAAACTACTGTGGCGAGTGCGAATTCGCATGCTCACCCGGACCCGATTCCGACAGGGGAGGCGGAGAGAGGGGGAGGGAGGAAGGTGGCGATACGCCGCAGAGGCACAGGGGGGAGGGAGAGGGGAGAGCGGGGGAGGGAGGACCGATGGGGGAGGGAGAGGGGGCAGGGAGGAGAGAAGCCACCTGCCACGCGCTGCCCCCTCCCTCGAGGCTCTGATCGTGCGCGCCAAGTCCCCGTCCTGGCCTGCTTTGCTCTTTTTCGCTGGACCGCCACCCCGCTAACGCCGCCAGCTTTGCCCCCGATGCCTGACCCCCCCGAACAGCGAAACAAAAAGGGGCGATGAGGGGATGACGGAAAGATGCGAATTACAAGAGGCCCTTGGCAAGTTCGTGTCGTGACGAATGGCACGTGTACTTCTGACAGCACGTGGATCGGGCAACTCCGAACCGTCAAGGCATTCCGACAACGCCGATGTTACGATCACAATGGATTCCAAGGCACTGGCGGCAAGCCAACCTCTTGAACGCCCGCGTAGGGGGGTCGCTGCCGCGTCAACGCGGAGCGAGCTTGCCAAAGTCGAGACAGGCACGACACTGCTCCTCGTCCTCGGCCCCGACCCCTTCCCAGCAGGCCCGGATCCGTTCTTGTGTGATGGTGCTGTGGCACTAGCATAGCGGGCGCCAGAGGCAGAAATCTGGGATGTTAGCCGGCGTGGGCCTGAAACAGTGCTTGTTTCAGGTGGTGCAAGCAACATGCTGCTGCAATCTATGCGGCGAAAGACAATGCAACGCAGTGCGAAGCAATGCAAAGCCATGCGACACAATGAAAATAGATACAAAGAAACGCAAAGCAATGCAATGCAACGCAATGCAAAGTGATACAATGCAACGCAAAGCAATTCTAAACAGTAAAGAACCATGTTAAGCAATGTAAAGCAATGCAACGCAATGCACAGCAATTCAACGCAATGCAACGCGAAGCACAGCAAAGGAATGCACAGTTTTATGAAAACATAAGAGGCAATGCAAAACAATGCAACGCAATGCAGATCAATGCAAAGCGATGCAAAGCAAGGCAAACAAATGCAAAGTAATGTGAAGCAATGCAACGCAATGAAACTAAATGCAATGCAACGCAACGCGAAGCATTGCAAACCAATGCAATGCAAAGCCATGCAAAGCCATGCGACGCAATGCAAAACGATGCGATGCAACCCGACGGAAAGACATGCAACGCAATACGAAGCGACGCAAGGCGAAGTAACGCGATGCAACGCAATGCAATACAGCGCAAGGCAATGCAGAGCAACGCAAACCAATGCAATGCAAAGCGATGCAAAACCATGACAATAAATTCAACGCAATACACCGCAATCCAAAGCAATGCGACGCAACGCAAAGCAATGCAAATCAATGACGCAACGCAATGCAAAATAAAGCAGCGCAATGCGAAGCGATGCAACGCGATGTAAGGAAATGCAACAAGCAATGCAACGCAATGAAAAGCAATGCAAAGCAACACTCAACAGTGCAACGCAAACCAATGCAAAACAAAGCATAGCCATGCAAAGAAATTGAACGCAATACAGCGCAATGCAAAGCAGTGCGACGCAACGCAAAGCAATGCACATCAATTCAACGCAACGCAGTGCGAAGCACTGCGATGCGACGTGACGAAATTGCGCAGCGATGCAACGCAAGGCAAAATAATTCGAAGCAGCGCACGGCAAGGCAACGCAGTGCCAAGTCATGCAGAGCAGCGCAGTGCAAAAGGCACAGCAGTGCAAGTCCACGCGAGAAGCAAAGCAGTGCAGCGCAACGCGCAGCACTGGGACCGGCGGCAGCGGTGGCGGCGGGCGGCGACGAGCTGGCCGGGGCGGCACCGGGGCTCCGTTGCCGGCGGCGGCGGCAGCGGCGACGCGGGCGGCGGCGAGACGGCCTGGGCGGCACCGGAGTTCAGCTGCCAGTGGCGACGGCAGCGGCGACGGGCGACGACGAGCTGGCCAGGGCGGCACTCAAGCTCCGTTATCTCAGAAAAGGAAGGAGAATCCCTAAGTGCAGGCACTGGTCGGGGGAAAAGCGTCCGAGGTGGAGCAAGAGCGGATCGTCGGAACTCTGGGTTCGGACTATACTTCGGGCCCCCGGCAGCTGCTCGGGACGACTCTGGCACCCCTCGGCGAGGCGCAGCTGCTGGAGAGCACCCCGATGCGAGAAAACCTGCAAGAACCAAGGAGGAGGATGGGGGACTCCCCCTTATCTCTCTTGCTCCCTTCCTTCTTCAGAGGCCTCCTGGATCGGGTCCGAGATGAGGTCGAAGGATCACGCCGAATCGCCAATGCATCGCCGATGCATCGGCGACGTCGACGTAGAGAGAATCAGGCCCCACATCAAGCCGCATCGAGGACGCATCGGCGATGCGGTGCGATCCTCTGACCCCACCTCACCCCGCCTGGGAGGCCCAGGTCTTCCTCCCCCCCGCCCCCCCCCCTTCTCGCGTGTTGCCGGACGTGCCCCTGGCCCGAGGTGCCCCCCAGGAGTTCCAAGGAGGCCCCCACGGCCGGCCCTCTCCTCGGCGCCGCGCTCATTCGCCCTATAAGTTTGCGACGGCGTCGCGGTTGAAAGGCGGGCCCTTCAAAATAATTTGCCATCGCCATAGCGCCGCGCGCCTTCGCGCGTGGACAGCAACTCCTTCTCATAATGTAGCCATCGCCATAGCGACGCGCGCATTCGCCCTCAAAACCTGTGGGATTTCCGCGGATCGAGGGCGCGCCGCGCTAAGAATGCGGCCTTCGACATGCCGCCGCGCGCATTCGCTTCAAAAACGTGCGAACGCTTCGCGGACGGGCGGCGGGTTCTGCTCAGACAGCGGCGCTCGCCCGCGCGCGGCGCGCGCTCGATTTGCGCGCTTGACAGAGTCTGACGGATAGGAGGCGGGCCCTTTTCAACGCGCGGCTCTCGCCCTAGTGCCGCGCGATTTCGCTTCCAAGAAATAGTTTCTCTACTGGTGATCCTGTTCCAAGTGCGGCTAAGAATGGGTGTGAAAGTGGTGGATGTAATAATGGATGCAGTGTAGAAGAAATATATTCGGATGACAATATCGAAGGCTGTATGGACCATTTAGCAGCTCAAGTTGAATCCGATATAGATACCGATGCTATATGTGATAGGGCTTCGCGGATGGAGGGCGGGCCCATCTCTGCATGCGGCCCTCGCTTTCGCGCCGCGCGCGCTCGCCTTGCTGGCGCGCGCGGGCTTCGCGGCCCGGGGGGCGGGTCGTCTGCGAAGCGCGGCCCTCGCCTCCGCGCCCCGCGCTTTCGTTCGCGAAACGCTGCTGGAGCTCCGCGAACGGAGGGGGGCTTATTTTCAGAACGCGGCGTTCGCCTCGGCGCCGCGCGCATCTGATCCAAATTCCAAATGTTGAGGGACCTTCGCGGGCGGATGGCGGGCCCGTTCCCGCGCGCGGCACTCGCCCCGGCATCGCGCGCGCCCGCGTCGGGGCGCCCCCCCCCCCAGCGCGCGGCCCTCGCCGCGGCGTCGCGCGCGTTCGATTGAGACGACTGCTGGAGCTTCGCGGATGGAGGGCGGGCCGCTTTCAAAGCTCGACGCTCGCCCCAGCGCCGCGAGCGTCCGTCTCTAAGTTTGCGCGGGCTTTGCGGGCGGACGGCGGGCCACCCTGAAAACGCGCCCCTCGCCCCAGCGCCGCGCGCGCTCGTCTTCGAAGGCTTCGAGAGCTTCGCAGATGGAGGGCGGCCCCGTTCAGCGCGCGCGCTCTCGCCCCAGCGCCGATCGCACCCAGTTCAGAAGTTTGACAGAGCGCCCAGATGGAGGGCGGGCCCTTTTCAACGCGCAGCTCCCGTCTCAGCGCCGCGCGCAAGCGTCGGCGCAGATTGCTGGAGCTTCGCAAACGGGGCGCGGGCCCGCCCCCGAATGCGGAACCCGCCATGGCGCCGCGCGCAGCCGTCGCGCAAGTCTGCGGGCGCTTCGCGAATGGAGGGCGGGCCCTCTTGGAAACGCGGCCCCCGCCTCGGCGCCGCGCGCATTTGCCCTCAAAAACTTTGCAGGGGCTCCGCCGATGGA